TAGTTCTTCGCTAAGGAATTTCCTCACCAGCAAATTCCCCAGTGAAGAATTCATAAAAATCGCCTATTCACCCCCCCCCCTCTAGTCGATATAACACACTTTTAGTAACAACCAATTGGTCTAAGTTCCGCCGCCTTGCAAAAATCCATGAAGGAGACATGTGTGCCTTTTGTTTTAAGGTCACCACAAAGCAGCACCCGGTTCTCATATAGCATTGCCTTTAGATGAACCATCGACAGCAACGGAAGTCGTATCTAAATATCATCTAGCATTCTGAGGACTACTAATCAAGCTTTGTAATAGGATGAAACCTTCCTCTGTTTTTTGACGATGTTATCTGTTGCTTTTGAACAACTACTACCTATGCTTTTATCTATATAACCTCTGTTGTTGTTCCTCATCGATCTATTAATATGCATAATACCACCCTTATCTATAATTATCTATTTTTACTACTTTCTCAGTTTAAAACATCGAGTACTCACCAGCAACAACAAATATGCTAAGCAAGGAAGAGGCATGCCCTACCTGGCAGCGTCCACCTTCCACTCAAGGTATATAACACTGTCATTTAGCATAGAGTGTTTCGGGAGAAACAGTAATCACGAACAGAAACAATAACCGGCAGCAGGTACTCATTATTTTGATATGTGTCTGAATATTTCTATCACCACTCTTACAATACTTGGTTTGCTATCGGCCTTTGCGCCATTGGCGCAATGGGTCATCTAGTAAGTAGAACAGATGCATGTAGTCTCATTACCATTTATGCATGCACATGAACTAGTCAACATACCTTGATGGGAGAAAACAGGGGCGGAGCCAGGACGAAAAACGAGAGGGGGCAAAGATATACAAATTTTCTCTTCCAGAAACATGGATACGAGCTAATGGCTCGATCATTTATAAAGCCAACCAGATTTAAAAGTGAAATTTATATGAAATTACGACGTGAATCATGATTCAATCAATCTACTTGCCAATTTAAAAGTAAAATTTATACACATGGATATTTGATACAATATGCTACCTTTGTAACATGGATTTTATTTTTGCGTAAAAACACGGAAATCAGAATAGCATAATAATGTGGAAATTAGAAAAAGAGAGAACTAAACGTCTAAACCTAGGGCTTATACCTTGATTGAGTGATAGATTAGTACAGTTTCTTCCATGGGGTTGGCATGTCGGCCGGCCGGCCGGCTGATCGCTGGAGGGGCGTCTTGTATGTGCAGCGTAGAGCAGCAGGCGGCAGCGCGACGGCTTCTGGTCGTGGCGGCGGTCACGCGAGCAGCAGGTCAGGCGACGAACGCATCTCAAGCTCGACCTAAACTTAATTCGTTTCTAGCGAGAACCACCTGATCGTATGCATGAGGCCTACTTGTATACTCGACAGATGGGCTGCTCGCTGGTGGGCTAATAACCTATCTGTTTCTCACACACGGGCCTTTAAACATACAACGGGAAAAATAAAGGGAGTGGGGGCAAATGCTTTGGGCCAAGTGGGGGCAATGCTGCATATCTTGGCCCTAGTATAGGTGGGCTGAAAAAACGAGTGGGGGCATTCGCCCCCACTGCCTTGCACGTAGATTCGCCCCCGGGAGAAAATGCATGCTAGGCACTCCGTCGTCGGGCGCGTGATGCAGATACGTCAATGGCTAGTTAGGCAATCCACACTATGTTAGGTTAGTTATATATACGATGGGCTAGCTTCATGGACATGTATCTGTTTACCCACGAGAGAAGACGATGATTAGCAGCATACCCCGTCTGAGTTGTGGATGATTCTTACGAGGGAGTGGACGGTGGAGCACGCTCGACGCTGGAGACCTGCTGGGCAAAAACGGGGGCGTCGTCTTGATCCATGCCAATGCATGCAACGGGTCTAGAGCTGAGACCGAGCCAAAGTAAATATCGTTTCTGAACCTCCAGATCAACTAGAAGAAAGCAGACATAATCATATTACTATTACTTACAGCGTGTTTTCTTATTGCAAAGCCAGAGTTAGCCACAGACTCATACTCCCTCCGTCCCGAATTACTTGACGCAATACGGTATTCAATAGACAGATTATTGAATCCAAGCATCTCACAGATTTTTTGGCAAATATAATGCATCAATGCCAAACCGGAAAACAAGTGGTGCCAGGATTCAGGTTCACTGCACAACAGGCAACTTTCATCAACAATCTCTTGCCTCTTAGCTAAATTATCCCTGGTGAGCAGTTTTTCATGTCATGGTAACGTGTGGGCGTTATCATTTCGATTTTTGTTTTGACATCGATTTTCTTTGTTTTTTCTCTCTTTTCACTTTTTTAATATTTTCTCTATTTTCATTTTGTTTTCTTAGTCTCTTTTTTGGTTTTCGTTTGCTTTTTTGTTTTCTTCGTTCTTTTTCTTAGTCGGCTTCCATCTTTTTTTTTCTGCCATCAGGCTTTTTTCCATTTTCTTTTTCCTTTGGTGTTTTTGGTTTTTTTTATCTTTGTTTCTTTTTTATTTGCATTCCACATTTTTATTTACATGATCAATATTTTTTTAATACTTATTCAATATTTTTCAAATACTTGTTCAACATTTTTATATACATGATCAACATTTTTTCAAATATTTGTTCAAAAATTTCAAATACTTTTTCAACATTCTTCAAATACTTGTTCAACATTTCAAATACTTGTTCAAACTTTTTTAAAATACTTGTTCAACATTTTTACATACATGATCAAATATTTTTTGATACTTGTTCAACATTTCTCAAATACTTGTTCAATATTTTTCAAATACTTGTTCAACATTTCTTAAATACGTGTTCAACATTTTTAAATGTTTTTCGAAGAGTGCTTTTGGCAATATATATATTTAGAATATTTTAAAGTAAACAATAAAGTACAAAAATAAAAGAAAAAATGAAAACACAGAACGTAAAAAGACAGAAAAACAGGCTTTGGCCTCGCTCGTGCGTGGGCCGACCATATCGTTCGCCCCCTTCAGCTAGTCGGGAGTGTAACTCGCTGAAGGCGAGGAATAGGGGCTTTCTTGGACGCGCGTGTCACGAAGACACCGGCGTAATTTTCTCTTTTCTTTGTTCTTTATTTTTTCTATCAGGTTGTACTCTTTGTGGGTCCTCTGGTTAACATGATACTCCCTCCGTCTCAAAATAAGTGTCTCGACTTTAAACTAACTTTGGTACAAAATTGCACTAACCTTGAGACACTTATTTTGGAGAGGGAGTATGAATATTAAGTAGGTTTCAGTTTGTCAAAAAAGTGAACACTTTCGAAAATAACTATGTTTTTATTATATATGTATATTTAGTATTTTATTTGCCACATTATATAACTATTTTTTTCATTATTGATAAAAGTTGTCTGTTGTGCAATGAACCTAAATCCTGTCACCACTTTCAATTGATAACTGCATATAAAGACTGGGAACTATACACTCCTAAATTGTGCCGAAGAGGGCCGTTTTGGCTCTTGGGAGCATATGCTCCCTGATGAATAGTAAATTCAAAAACAAATAGTAAATAAAATTTTAAATATCTGATTTTTTTGGTATGGATGTTCATCTAAGTCTAACAAGTGTGCTTGACAACTTTCATGCGGAACGGGATAGCGGTACTTCGTCGGTAAAAAAACAAAATTAAGTGTAACATTTGGCGTCTGATTTGTTTTTTTCGCACAGCTCAAAATGCTCAAGATTTTTCACTAAAAATTTGCAGGTAGCATTTGGGTGTGACAAAGAACACATCTAATTTTTTCAATTTGTTTTTACATTTGCAACAAACATTTTTGGTGGGCAAGAGCATATGCTCACAAGAGCCGAATTGGATTTCCCGCATCTTCACACCATTCGGTCAAGGTCCTCAATCACCTGATGTGAGAAACAATTTGCAAGAGATCATTCCATTATTGCATCATTTTGTGATCAAAACCTTTCCTAAAGGAGAGTTTCAGATCAACACCATCTCAGGCCTCATTTATAGTGATATGAGGTTCTATATGGAAAAATCGAATGGCCAAGCTGGAATTCCCAAACCAGTGTCCCTCCATACCAAACACATACTTTTACCATAACCCCTGTCGAAAAAGGAGAGGCCTGCTCTTCTCTACAGCAGAAACAGGTTAGGAGTATGCATGTTATACTTGAAATCAATTACTGTTTCCAAATTCTTTTATCATCTACTCCCTCCATACCAAAATATAAGACGCTTTTGCAGTTTAAATTGAACTGCAAAAACGTCTTATATTTTGGTACAGAGGTACTAGTTGGCACCGTCTTATCCAGGAAACCAAGAGGGACAGATTCAACCCTCTCATATTGTGGATGCCCAGATTCATGAGGTCTAATTTTCGGTGTCGTATATAATAACTCGTTATCTCTGCATTTTTCTCTTCTAAGTTTTTCAACTTCGAACTAGCTTAAAAACTTGTAGGATCAATTCAAGCAACCAAAATGACACACACGCTTCCAGCGGTTCTTAAATTCGGAGATATTATGGCACAGCTGAATTACACCAGCAGCTAAGTAAGACACATTTCTACAGACGGTCGTAACTGGCGGCCTCCTCACACAAGTTAGATACCCATCAGAAATGGTGGCCATCTCAAACGAGTTGCCTCACCAGATCCCCATTCAAACTCCTTTCAGCGTTGGTCAGTAGACCAACTGAAGAGAAGAGACAATTTTCTCTGTAGTACCTACGTCGCGCATCATTGATTTTCTTTTCTTAAGAAAGCACTGAGTATTTATATGTAGTGCTTTAGAAAACAAGTGTTGCAGACTTCTGGTGTCATATAAAGCCAGAGCACCAAAGTCTTTGAAGTCGCTATCCTGCTAAGGACCATACCACCCAACTATTGGTGCTCACCTTGACTTTTTGAGCAATCAAACGTCACAGGTGAGACGATATTGTCAAAAATGGTGACCTGTAAGCACCACTACATGACCCATCCATAGAATTTACCCTGAAACATTCCAAGATCTGCTGGTAAGAAACATACCATGGCGGAGGCCATCTTCTCGGCGGTCGTCGGCGACATGGTGGGCAGGGTGATCTCGCTTCTCGCCGGCCGCTTCAGCGACCAACAGAGCACCAGCATCAAGCTGCAGAAGATAAGTCCTATGCTTGTCAGGATTCACAGCGTGGTGGAGGAGGCCAAAGGGAGGCACATCACAAACCATGTGGCCCTCAAGTGGCTCTCGGAGCTCAACGACGGTGTGCACCAGGGTCGTTATCTGCTCGACACGATCAGGTGTGGAGAGCCGGAGCTTGAAGACGGGCATGGTGGCAAGGTACCAGCAGCACAGCCTTTCTCTCTGTCCTTGTTTAATCCTGCAAAGCGCGTGCGTGTCGCCACGAGCACCGTGGAGTGCATACTGTCTCGCCATGACGCCGGTGTCGATGAGATCGACACGGTGCTAGAGAGCTTGCAAAGCATATCTGGTGATCTCCGGGAGTTCATGATGCTCCTGCAAGGCTGCAGGCGGATCCGCCGCCCTTTGGCTACCAACATATTTGTGGACGGGCAGATGTTCGGCAGACATGTCGAAAAAGAAAGGATCATCAACTTCTTGCTTGACGACAGCGGTCCATGCATCACGGGGAACCTGCCTTTGCTCCCAATTGTTGGTGACATTGGAGCTGGGAAAACTACCTTGGTGCAGCACGTCTGCGATGATGCCAGGCTGCGCAACCGCTTCCCAATAATTATGTTGTTTAATTTCTCATCTACCTACGCTATGGCGACGGGTGGAGCAACTGTTGTTCTGAAATCAAAACATGTGATCGGAGGGTCTGGAAAGCTTTATCATCCACTGCAAGTGCTCAACGAGAATTTCCGCAAGAAGCGGTTCCTGATGGTGTTTGAGGACGTTGACATGCACAAGAAGCAGCAGCTGGATGAGCTCTTGCCGAGCCTGAGACACACCAAACAGAAACAGGGGAGCAAGATCATACTCACCACCAACAACAGGCGTGTCGCAGCCAGCATGGGGACAGTGGAGCCGATCAAGCTGAAAGTTTTGCCACACCCAGAGTACTGGTTCTTCTTCAAGGCTCATGCCTTTGCAGCCACAGACATCGAGGAGAACCCGAGGCTGCTGGCGGTAGGCAAAGCCATTGCAAGGAAGCTAAATGGATCATTCTTCGGCGCGAAGATTGTTGGAGGGGTGCTGAAAGCCCATCCAAATCTACAGCTCTGGTGTAAGATCCTGAGAAGCAACATTGGGGACCTGTCATTGTTGGGTGATGGCCTTGGGTACATAGCAGATTTGGCAGAAAATCTGCTGCCAAGTCACGTAAAGATGCGCCAGCTGATTATATCCAAGAAACCGCTCTCCTCGACACAGCCCGAGTTTGCCAGGTTGCATGATATGCTTCTGCCAAGCCCTGATGCAGCAGCAGCAGACCAAGAAAGCTGGAGTGCGGATGTTCGAAATGCAAAAGTGTTGTTGTGCAGGTCAGTTATGTCATTCTTTTGCCTGGACTACAACGCTCATTGCACTGTAAGTGGGCGAAACAGTTCATCAGGATCCACACATTTCAATCATCGGGAACCCCGTGTTGTTGGGGAACTAAACCTTATGTATAGGAATTCTGTGTGCTGATCAGTGTTTCCTTATCTAGTATGTAGAGATATTTTGTACTGAATCTTATATTGTCTGATGTCCAGTTTTGTGCTGTTTTCTACTGTCCTTTCATTTCAGCATCGCATCCTCTTAGAGACCTCTTCTTTTACTTGTTCCAAATAGTCCTTCGGTACAAATGGTTGCCTGCTTCCAAACGAGCTGGACTTACAGCAAAGGCTTTTCCAAAAGCTAACAAATTTCATACCAAAGCAGATTGAAGGACTTCTTTCTTTTTGCAACTGCTTTTGCCTGTACCTGTATCACTACTGTCGTGCCAAGAACTGGCAGCTACAGATACTACTTCTCAACGCTATGCGCCAACTGTACCAGTTACGAACTCTTGCATCATCACAAGCGTGCTGCATGAGGGTGCTCTTTCCAACTCCAATATGTCTGATAATTTGAAGAACATCCAGTTTTCTTTCAGAAAAGTGGTTTCTGTACAGGAGGAAATTGATTACTCGCCCCCTTCCGATATGCCGGCTAAACATCTGAAAATCTGCATAAATGTTGGTGCTCAGTGACAAACATATCGGTGCGCAGCTCCCTCTCTAAATGTTCTACAACACCGTTGATCTCTTCAAAGCTATCACCATGGGACAATAGGATCTTTCGTGGTGCTTGCAGTAACCCATAAATGCTTTGCAGGATTAGAAGACGACAATGAGAACAAACCAATGGGGATATGTTGGCACCTTGTTGTTGATGTCATCCTCATCATGAACACCAATGGACTCGATTGATCTGTTGTTTGATACATCCAGGATGGAGCAGGTAAGGATCATGGTACAATCTGTGGATGAGCTCTGAGAGCCACTCCAAGGTGCTGTAGTTGGTGATCTGCCTCCCTTTGGCCTCCTCCACTACAGTTACAATCTTGATTAACATATAGAGCACCATTCCTAGCTTGGCTTGGGTGCCTAGTCACCCTGTAGTATGGCCGATAACAAGAGAGATAACTCTGCTAGCCCTGTCACCGATGACCTAGGAGACAACAGAGACAGCCATGGTAAAAAAATATCCAAATGGAAGATCTGTCTTTAGCGTACAATAATTTCTGCTGAAAATTACTTTTAGATAATTATAAGGGCTCCCTGTTCACCATTTTAATGACCTTAGGTATTGATTGAAATAAGAGGTCAGATGAAGAACAAGTCAGCGAGAGGACAGTGATAACAGAGAGTTGTTTGATAATCTACACATAACATATATCAGCCCGAATAACTTTTGCTGAAGACCAAAGACTTCTGATGGGCATAACCAGATTTCAAGTGGAAACGGAAGTAGTTGAATGTCAGATATGCTAGGAATCATCAGTTTGACAAGGATGCCTTAGGACATCAGAATATTGTAGAACTCACACCTGGCTCAGAGTCATATTTCAAAATTAATACTTTATCTATTTAAATGGATTAGCCTTGATCCCTGGAGGTATCTTGCCTTCAGCCTTTGGTAGTCAGACTTATTCATGTTCGTGGTGCCTTTGTCAGGCAGTATGCAGAAATAATTCTATTTTTATTTCAACTCTGCAATGAAGCATGCAAAGGTCCTTGTAATGCAGTATGTAGCACACTCCTGAAGTAATTTCCATATTTTCCATTTCAAGGCAACATTATTCCATTACATTAAGATTGCCAAGTAAACAAGAGCAATTACAGGCTTACAGCTCACAAGGCAAGGACACCTTCACAGTTTACTAGATGCGCCAAGATACTTGGAATAGCGGGCTTGAGCGATGATTTTGCCAGATTTCTTCTTCAGTTCCACAGTGGCCACTCCTACTGCTTTTCCAGCACGCAGAACCTTGGCCTCGATATCAATCTCTTCCTGCAAATGGCAACATATGATTTCATAGTTACTGTACAATCACAAGAACTTCAGAAGCGAAGCACGATATTCCAACAGCTCAAGTAATGCGTCAAGATTGACATGGTCATCCATGCACTTCGGAATAAAAACAACAACTACCGCAACTTGGTCAAGCACTAGAGCATTATTAACAAAATTGACAAACTAAACGAATCTTGATACGCCAAAACTGGTAACTGATACGGAATTTGCCACGTAACAATGATTTATGGTGTTCAGTGGCATCTCTACCTGGTGCTAGCAGAGTGGAGTACAATTGTGTGAACTACAAATTATTGGCTCTCTGATAATGTAACTTTATGAGCTCATTTCACCCCCTCAAAAACAAAAAAAAACTTTGAGTTCATTTCACTGTAAATTTACTTTTAGACTTGGGTAACTCCATGTGGTAGTTGGGCCATGGGGATTATAACTAGGAAGTAGTACAAGAAAACATCCCATGTGGATCGATGGAGCTAAGTGACCAATGCCGATGAACCAACGGCGTGTATTATTTCATTTCCCACCCAATTAAATTTGGCAAGAAAGCCACTCACATCCGAAAATGCAGCATCCAAGTATGAGATGTTCATCTCTAGTGGTGAGCCCTGGTTTGTGCCCCGGCCGTGTAGAAGACAGCAGTACCCACCAAGTCAACCAGCGACGCGGTCGCGCCGCCGTGCAGGAAGTTGCCCGAGTTCTGCTCAACAACGAACACAACCATCAGCAAAAGGAAGGGACAGGCTTCTAAAATCGGATGCTGGAACTGTATGCGCAGGCTAACTGGTTATTCAGCTACAGTGAGGAAAAGTAAATTTGTGAGGGAATACAAATGGAGGTGGAACAGATGGGGAAATTATGCTTGGGTGCCATGCCATGGTAATTAGCAAACGCCGAGGAGGAACTGAGCAGGGACGCGCTGCCGGAGGAGGGAGGAAGGGAGGGAGGGCTCACGAGGAGGCGGGCGGGGACGGTGAAGTGGCAGAGGAGACGGCCGGGCTCGACGGCGTGGACGCGGATGCCGCAGAGCAGGAAGGCGTCGTAGAACCCGGAGGGCAGCGCGTCCACCTGCTCCGTCGGCAGCGACTCGGCCGCCGCCTCCTCCAGCAGCTGCCGAGCCTTCTCCAAAGCCGCCGACGCCGACGCCGACGCCATCGGCCGGTCCGAGATAGAAGAACGGATCCGGAATTGCGTTTCCTTCCCCAATTCATCTGCCTTGTGTCGTGACTACCGCCACACCCGTTTCCTGTTTTTTTAGAGCAACTCCAAGTTCCTTGTCTCTCTGTAAAATAACCGATGTTTACGCGAGTCGAGGCAAAAGAAACCTCTTTCACAGATCCTGTAAGCCTCTCTCGGGGCTTCTTTGATTCAAAGAAACTTCATAGAGTTTTTTCATATGTTGGGCGTTTGATTCACATGATTGAATTCTATAGGATTTTTCATATAAAATCAAATGTACTACACTCTCCGTCCCATAATATAAAAGAGTTTTGACACTAGCTCATTGGAAATCAAAGATCCATTTCAACATCTTTTTACAATTCCACTGTTTTTCTGTGACAACAAACACTCTAGGCCAATCATATAGAATTGAAATGGGCATGCCACTTAAATCATGTACTTTTTTATTCCTACATTCTAAAAATCCTGCAAATCAAAGCGGGCCTTAATTTTAGAGGATCCATCAACCAGTCTCAATCTCACCTCAAGTCTACAGAAATATATCATTCCCGTATAATTTTTGAAGGAAATATGCCTTAGAGGCAATAATAAAATTGTCATTTTATATTTTTTTTATTCATGATAAATGTTTATTATTCATGCTAGAATTGTATTAACCGGAAACTTGATACATGTGTGAATACATAGACAAAACACCGTGTTCCTAGTATGCCTCTACTAGACTAGCTCATTGATCAAAAATGGTTAAGTTTTCTAGCCATGGATATGCGTTGTCATTTGATGAACGGGGTCACATCATTAGAAGAATGATGTGATAGACAAGACCCATCCGTTAGCTTAACATAATGATTGTTTAGTTTTATTGCTACTGCTTTCTTCATGTCAAATACATATTCCTCTGACTATGAGATTATGCAACTCTCAGACATCGGAGAAATGCCTTGTGTGCTATCAAACGTCACAACATAACTGGATGATTATAAAGATGCTCTACAGGTATCTTCGAAGGTGTTTGTTGGGTTGGCATAGATCGAGATTAGGATTTGCCACTCCGAGTATCGGAGAGGTATCTCTGTGCCCTCTCGGTAATGCACATCATATGAAGCCTTGCAAACAATGTGACTAGTGAGTTAGTTACGGGATGATGCATTACAGAACGAGTAAAGAGACTTGCAGGTAACGAGATTGAACTAGGTATGAAGATACCGACGATCGAATCCCGGGCAAGTAACATACCATTGACAAAGGGAATAACGTATGTTGACATAACAACTCGACCGATAAAGATCTTCGCACAATATGTAGGAACCAATGTGAGCATCCAGGTTCCGCTATTGGTTATTGACCGGAGAGGTGTCTCGGTCATGTCTACATAGTTCTCGAACCCGTAGGCTCTGCACGCTTAAAACGTTCGATGACGATATGTATTATATGAGTTATGTGTTTTGGTGACCGGAGGTTGTTCGGAGTCCCGTATGAGATCATGGACATGACGAGGAGTCTCGAAATGGTCAAGAGGTAAAGATTGATATATTGGAAGGTAGTATTCGTGTTGGAAATATGCCCTAGAGGCAATAATAAAATGGTTATTATTATATTTCCTTGTTCATGATAATTGTCTGTTGTTCATACTATAATTGTATTGACCGGAAACCGTAATACATGTGTGAACACATAGACCACAACATGTCCCTAGTGAGCCTATAGTTGACTAGCTCGTTGATCAATAGATGGTTATGGTTTCCTGTCCATGGACATTAGATGTCATTGATAACGGGATCACATCGTTAGGAGAATGATGTGATGGATAAGACCCAATCCTAAGCATAGCACAAGATCGTGTAGTTCATTTGCTAAGAGCTTTTCTAATGTCAAGTATCATTTCCTTAGACCATGAGATTGTGCAACTCCCGGATACCGTAGGAATGCTTTGGGTGTACCAAACATCA